ATTACTGACCACGCACTTGGAATGGTGAGCTTTGAAAATGACAGACCTTGGCATTCATGTTCAGGAGCTTTATCTATTGCACAATTTCCCGCTGACCGAAGATCGTTTACTTTCAGTTGTTTTTTTAAGCGAGCTAGTGGGCGATGACCGCTGGCGAGTGACAGTACACAGCCTTTCTTAATCGCTGAAATCTCGAAAGCCATGCATTTAAGTTTTCGTTGAATCTCGTGTAGTAGCGCTAAAAATAAATGCGCTACCACACGAGATTCACTTCTCACCCTACTTCCGAAATGTGCGGACGTAGTTTCGCGCGCTCCACCTGTTCGGCGGATTCAAGGTCGTGCAAGGTTGTGCAAGGTCGGTTGGTGCAGAACCAGCGCGCAACGAGAGATGAGTTACTCTTCACTTCTTTGTGTTTGTGAACACCAATATTATTTTTTTCCTTCCTATTCAACAATTAGCGTTGCGCGTACTGTAGGTGTGGGACACGGGCAACATTGTAGTGACGTTGACCACGTAAACGGGCAAGGCGGCGGCGTTGAAGAAGGTCGGGGTGCCCGGTTAGTTGTTAAAGAGCTAGAGCCGAACGCGAAGAGGACCAAGTGAGAGGCTGCTAGTGAAATCGAACACGCATGTCTGTGGTGTAGGCGGCAGCTTGAAACAGTTGTTGAGGTAGGAGAGTTAACGGAGGCGGCTGGATAGGGGGATTAGGATTGAACGTAGGCCTGTCGGGCACTCGGTCCGATGGTCGGGCGGGCGATGGCTAAGGAGGCTAGGAAAACCACGAGCGTGAATGAGCTGTTGCAGTGCGAAGAATGCAAGCGCTGGTGCTACTTAGATCAGACAGAATTCACAATTTTGGCTGATGCGCAGAAGGCGAGCTTCGTGTGCAGGCTGTGCGAGGCACTGAAGGCGGCCGCGCAGCGCATGGAGGCTAGGATAAAGGGGCTTCAGAGGGAGCTTAGGGCGGAACGGGATCAGAGGATAGAACTCCAAAAATAGCACCGAGCGTCGCGTGAACGGGAGGAGGCTACCGCCAGCCTATTAGAGCAAATGAAGGGCGACCTTCGAAAAGAACGGGAAGGGCAGACCGAGCTAGAGCAGCGTTTAAAGGTGATAATGGCGCTTTGCCACGGCCGAGAGCGGTGTGAGACGGAAGGCGTGGGTAGCGGAGAAGGCGACAGGCGGGAAGGAACAGGCGAGAAGGGGGGTTAGGGGGCCGAAGTGCCTGGCTACATCACGGAGGCTCCGAGAACATACAGCTCGGTGGCGCAGCAGTTTTCAAGCATAGCAGAAACACAGGACAGATGGCAGAGAGGGAAACAGGTGATGCGAACAGGGGCGCCATCACAAACAGGAAGCCAGCGATTAGAGCGTAGAAGGGTCCTAGTGGTGGGGGGCTCTAACGTGGCCAGAGTTAGGGATGGTGTCTTCAAGACAGTGAAGGAAGATAGGAGAGTCAGGGTGGAGGCACAGTCAGGGAAGAGCCTGGTGGATGCACTATTCCAAGCTCAGGAGATTGTAGAAAACAGCATGGAGGGCGAAAATCTAGTCATTATTCATGCTGCACTCAATGATGTGTTGAAGGGCAAAGATCAGAACCTTCAGAGAAAGCTAGAAGATAAGATGCATAAGCTCCGAAAAGCCTCTGGGAATGTGCATGTGACCATATGCACAGTCCCAGAGGTTTGGGGGCACCCTCGTGTGATTGAAAGGAGGGTAGAGGAGGCTAATTGTGTGATCAAGGGTTTGAACCGGCAACTCGGATACAGCGCAATGTAAGTTAACCAAGACGTGTACGAGCCCGGCGCTCGCCCCTTTGCATAGAATGGTATTCACAACAGTGGTGTGACGGGCAGTAGGGTCGGTAACTGAATGGGTCGCCACGACATAGCTTTTTTAGGGGGACCCAGAGCCCTGAGGCCAACAGTGTAGGCAAAGACGGGCCTAAAGGGGCACAAATATTCAAGCCACACGAAGTCCGTAAGAGAACAAATTGACGTAAGCACAAGGGCCGAGCGAAGTGAGACGTAGGCTATATTAACATGCAGGGTGGCAGGAATAGGTTAAAGTGGGAAGAGATAGAAGAGCAGTTGACGCAGGAGGAACTGATGGTATATGGGGTTGTGGAGACACATCTTCGGGACCTGGAGCAACCACGCTACAATCCGGACTACGTATGGGAATATTGCAATAGGACAGAAGGCAGTAAATAGAGGGGTGGAATTGGTGCATTCTTACATAGGAGCATGGGTTGGCAAAGAGTCAAACAGGGATGAAAAAAACATTTATCGCTGAAAGGAAAAGTGGCAGGGCAAATGACACTCCTTGGTTTTGTGTACTTGTGGACGGGAGCAAAGGCCAGAGAGGAAAACCAGGCAATGGCAGAGTGTATACAATTGACATTCAGGAGTTAGGAGGAGAGTGCGAGATAATTATACTAGGAAATATGAATGCAGACATAGAAGATATAGATGGGTATACTGACTCAACAGGCAAAATGATCATGGATATGTGTGAAAAGCCTGATTTGATCAATTGCATCAGTACCGAGAAGTGTGAAGGGCAAATAACATGGGAGGTAGGAAGGCTGCAGTCAACAATAGATTACGCACTGATGTCACATAGGATGTATGTCAAGGTCAGGGGAATGCACATAGATGAAGGTTGATCCATAGGTCTGGGTAGTGATCACAAACGTATCCGGCTAAGTTTTGGAAGAGCAGCAAAAGTGGGAAGGAGACAGGAGGAGCGAGAACAGGAAACTTTTCATTCGGAAAGGCAAATGTAAATTGCTGCTAAACAAATTGAGAAAGTAATCTCTGGGGATAACAGAAATGTGTGGACATATACAAATCTAATTAGACTGTTTCGGCTAGAGCTTGCTAAGGCACGTGACAAGTCACTCCGGAAATGAAAACACAAGCCGAAGAGTTGGTGGGACGAGGAATTTAAGAGAGCCATACCAAAACGCCAGGAAGCCTCTAGGGAATACAGACAAGCTAAGCAGCGGGGTGAACCGACAGATAATGTTGAAAAAAATGGGAAATCTTTCTAAGCTCTAGAAGAGAAGCATCCCTCTTGATCAATGAAAAGATTAGAAGAAAGGGTGCTCAGTGGCTCGGAGAAGTACATAAAAAGGACAGAAAGGCAGCTGCGAAATTTCGGAACCATCTAAACTCACTAAGAAATGAAACAAACCTAGAGCATAGGTTTATAACTACAGCTCAAGGTGCTAGGCTAGAAGGGGAGGAAGCTATTGAATATATAACAACAAGGGTGACAGAAAAATTTCAACAAAGAAGGGCCTTATGCACCACAATAGACAAGGAGGGATCAAGGGGCACTATGGCTCTATTTTCACAACGAGAGTGCGAAAGGGCTGAAAAGGGGGTTCCAAGTAGTACATCAACAGGCTAAGATGGCATTCCAGTTATGCTGATAAAGACATTGGTTTCGAAGTCTAAACAGACTTTGAGAGAGACAGTGAGCAGAACAATAATTGATGGTGAAGTCTCTGATGGATGAAAACTTAGCAGGATAAGCAAGATCTATAAAGGAAAGAGGACAAAGATGACATAAACAACTACCATCCTATAACAGTGACATCAGTGGTCTACAGGCTGGCGTTGCAGATTCTAAAGGAAAGACTGCAGACATGGATAGAGAATGAGTAATTGCGGGGGGAACTGCGGAATGGGTTTCGGAAACACAGGTGGTTGGAAGACAATCTGTTTTCACTGACGCAGTGAATCGAAATAGCAGAAAAAGAACTCAGGCTCCTGTGGCTAGAATTTTTGGATATCTAGGGAGTGAATGATAGTGTGGTTCAAGAGGAATTGTGGTGAATACTAGATACACTAGGTGTGGAAGATGGAGTCACTAATTTTTTGAAGGAAATCTATAAAAGTAACAAGGTAGTTATAAAGTGGAAAAAACAGGTATCCAAGCCTGCAAACGTCAAACGGGGGCTTAGGCACGCGTGTCCCCTGTCACCCTTGTTATTCATGATGTACCTACAAGGATTAGAGGCCAAATTAGAGGGAAGTGGACTCGGCTTCAATCTCTCTTTAGTCAAACAAAGAAAACTCATTGATCAGGCCCTATCAGCATTAATGTACGCATATGATATAGTGCTAATGGCCAACAACAAGGAATATTTGCAGAGATTGATGGACATCTGCGGTAATGAGGGAGATAGGTTAGATTTTAGATTCAGTAAGGAAAAATCAGCAATCATGATTTTTAATGATAGTGGAGGTTGTGAGCTTAGGATACAGGAACTGACGCTAGAGATAACAGATAAATACAAATATCTGGGTGTATGGATAAGCAATAGGACCGAGTACTTAAGGGAACATGAAATATACGTGATGACTAAAGGTAACAGGAATGCAGCAGTGATGAAAATTAGGGCACTGTGGAATTGCAATAGTTATGATGTTGTGAGAGGAATATGGAAAGGGGTCATGGTTCTTGGGCTGACATTCGGCAATGCGGTCTTGTGCATGAGATCAGAAGTTCAAGCAAGGTTAGAAATTAAGCAACGTGACGATTTTGTTCGGAGCAGTCCAGGCAGCCGCTGGGTCGCGCAACAACTAATCGTCTCTTCTGTATCTGCAGCACAACGGTATCTACCGCTACTGGTTCAGCCCATCGGAGTTGACCGCAATCTGGGCTTTTCAACGAGTGTGCTGCTTCGCGGACTGGTGGAATCTGCTGGTTCTGAAAACGGAGCAGCTAAAGTATACGCCCTCGATGACCGAATCGACTGCGCCTGCGTCCCTCGCCGTGGTCGACGTCATGGATGGGCTATAAAGCCAGTCCATCGAGGGAAAGCCGGCATTTTGTTCGGAGCAGTCCAGGCAGCCGCTGGGTCGCGCAACAACTAATCGTCTCTTCTGTATCTGCAGGTGCGTACAAGCTACGTTTGTTTCACGCCTAAAACCTAAGAATTAGTGTTGCCTGGACTGCTCCGCGAGAGTTTTTTTTCCAGAGACATGAGTAGCAAAACTCCCACAACCGTCAAGGAACTTAACGTAGCACTAGCGGACTTGAGTGCTCGACTTGATGCTAAAAATGACCAACTAAAGGAAGATTTAAGGGCAATAATTGAAGTAGAGATACAACCGATAAGACAGTCAATTGAGCATAAGCATGCTGCACTAAAGAAAGAGCTGCCTAAGCTAATTGAAAAAGAGCTCAAACCCCTCAAAGAAGCAATGGAATTCATTAATAAGCAATTTGAGGAATTTAAATCGGAAATCGGTGACTTGAAAAATGAAATTGCAATCGTCAGAACGGAAAACAGGGCAATCAAGAATGACTTCAGCAGGCTCACGACTGAGCTAAAGGAAACAAGAAAAGAGCTAACAGAGCTACAACAGTACAGCCGACGTAACAATGTGGAAATTAAAGGTGTCCCCGTGCAAGAAAAAGAGAACCTTGTAGCAGTGATCAAGAGCATATCAACCTATTTGAAAGTGGATATAAATGAATCTGATCTCGAGGTTGTACATCGTGTTCCAACCAGGGAAAAGTCACAATCGAACATCATTGCTAAGTTCATCTCCCGCACCCCCAGAGATAAGTTCATGAATGCACGAAGAAGCAAAGATTGACCACTACAATCATAGGCTTTGAAGGTTCCACCCCGCTCTATATTAATGACCACCTATGTCCAGCTAACAAGGTACTGCTGGGCAAGGCATTAAAGGCGAAGCGCGAAAATAACTGGAAATTCACTTGGGTATCCAGCGGAAAAATTCTCATGAGAAAGACAGAAAATTCGCGAGTATTGCACATAACATGCGCAGAAGATCTATCGCAAATTTCCTGAGCAATGATGTTTGATTTTTCAAGTATCGACCAAGCTTGGCATGAGTACGAAAACTTGTCTGTTGTTCATTGCAATATTCGAAGTGCGCGAAGAAACTTAGACCAATTCTGCGCTCATTTGTCGCGTCATTCATTTGTATACGACGTTATCACTCTTACTGAAACCTGGTTGAAAGATGGAGAATCTGCGCATGTTCCAGGATACACATTATTATCGCTACCTAGGAAGAGCAGTTCGCGAGGTGGGGGCGTTGCTCTGTTCCTTAAAAAAAGCATCGATTACCAGTGCATGCCTAACCACTCTACTAGCCAACCTGAATGTGAAGCCTTGTTTGTGCATTTGAAATGTGGCGTTATACTCGGAGCTGTTTATCGTCCACCTAGCTCGTCTGTAGCAGCATTCATTTCTACTATGGAAACTGTCTTAGACCCTTTGATAGCCTACAACCGCCCACTGGTTATATGTGGTGATTTTAACGTCGATCTACTTAAAGATGAATACCCTGACTATGTATTGATGCTCCAGTCATATAATTTAATGAACGTTATTAATGCCCCTACACAAATAAGTGATAACTGTTCCTCACTTATTGATCATATTATTTGTGGAACTGATATGAGTGTTTTCGCCGGAGTGTATGACGTTACTATTGCTGATCACTGCCCCACTTTTCTGTTTGTGCCTAATGCTAATTTAGGACCTCCATGCCATAACTCAAAACGAGTTAAGCGGACAAACTACGCTGTAGTGCGCAAATTACTTGAGCGTACGGATTTTGAAGCCTTGTACCACAGTAATGTTCACACTGAATGGGAAAACTTTATTTGCCATATAATGGAGGCAATTAGCCAATCAACCCAAGAATACACAGGCCGAAGACACAAGGAAGCAATATGTCCTTGGGTGACGCGGGACATACTGAATGTTATAAAGAAAAAAGACACATACTTCACTAGATGGAAACAAAACAAAACAAATGAATACTATGAAAAGCAGTTTAAACACTTCAGAAACAAATCAGTCGGGATGTTAAGGAAAGCCAAGAAGCAGTATTACAGTGCTAAAATAGTCCAACAGTGCGGTGACATCAAGCAGGTATGGAAGCTAGTGCGTGAAGTTACGGGAATAGGCGAAAAAAAGCGCATTGCTCCGGATAATCCTACAACAAATACCGCTGATAACTTCAATAATTTTTTTACTAATTTTGGTAACAACTTTCCTGCTCAATCTCAAGCAGATCCTCTACATTCTTGCCAAAACAAAATATTTGAGGAAGACTTTCAGCTTGCAAGCGTAACCACTGAGGAAATTAGGTCAGAAATCCTAAAACTCCCATGCAATAAAGCCGTTGGTCATGATGGGATTACTACAAAACTACTGAAGGTAAATGTAGACCTTCTTTCGGAGCCTCTTTCCCGCATCATGAATAACTGCCTGCAAAATGGAACTTACCCAAATATCCTAAAGATAGCGAGAGTCGTACCTATTTACAAATCCGGGGATCGAGAAAATCCGAGCAGTTACCGTCCCATCTCGGTGCTCAGCATTGTTAACACGCTTTTTGAAAAGGTAATTAGGTCCCGTCTCTGTCGATTTCTAAGCTCAAACGACATAATCTGCCCTGAACAACATGGTTTCATCACAAATAGGTCAACGAGCACAGCTGTTTTTACACTAGCACAGTTCAACTCAGTACTTCATGATAACAAAATTGCCGTAAGCGTTTTCTTGGATATAAAAAAAGCATTCGATACTGTTTCGCATTCCATTTTATTAAAGAAATTAGAATCTTATTATGGCTTCACCGAGAAGACACTTCGGTTATTTTCTAGTTATCTGGCAGATAGAAAACAATGCGTCGTGTTTGACCGTATATCTTCAGGATTTAGAAAAATAACATGTGGAATACCCCAGGGAACTGTGCTAGGTCCTATGTTGTTTTCACTATACATAAATGACCTACCATCTGCTCTTTCACGCAAAACCATAATGTACGCTGATGACACTGCATTGCTTTTTCGAGGTAACTCTCTGTGCACGCTAAAAGAAGAAATCACGGCAGAGTTGGCACAGATTTCCGCATGGTTCGCCCGCAACAAGCTCGCATTAAATGTAGCCAAAACTAAATATATCATATTTCATTCCAGAAGAAAAAACCTCGATTATAGTCAGCTGGACTTAGAAATTAACGACGCGCCCATTGAGCGCGTTTCCGCGTTTAAATACTTAGGGGTTCTAATAGATGAAAACCTGAATTGGAAAGATGAGGTTAATTACATATCCAAATAGCTTGCTTTCGCATGCTTCACGCTCATTAAAGCCAAATGTTACTTTCCATATAATTTGCTACGATCATTATACTTCTCTATATTTCACTCTCAACTCAGTTATTGTAGCGAAATATGGGGCTTTACTTATCTAACGTATATAGCACCGATCATACGATTGCAAAAACGCGCTTTAAGAGTTATTACGGCATCGTCCTCTTGTTGTCCAAGCTCAGATTTGTTTTCATCTACTCAGATACTGCCTTTCACGTCTCAGCGAAATTATAAAACCGCGGTGTTGATAAATTCTATCATTAACACCAATTTTCCACTACCTGTGAGTGCGTTTTCTACACCGACCCGTAACACAAGGCATGCAGGCAATGGCAACTTCAACCTCCCTACTTGTAGGAATGTATATGGCGAACGGTTAATACAATTCACTGGTGCTAAAATCTGGAACACAATTCCACTTGAAATTAAACTTGACCGCAACTTTAAATTCACTTGTAAAATGCATTTTGTAAGTTTTTTTATGTTCTTAACCAAAGTTAAGCTCACGTCCACACTTTTTTACGACTCATCTGGCATAGTTCTTTTTCTTTCCTTCTTTTTGTTTCTAGTTCTGAAGTGAGTTCGATGGTATTGATTCTTCAACGCAGTTAATTTTTGTGCACAAATTGTGCTAAATATTTTGTGGTATCACTATCTTCTGTATTATTACAATGTATGCCTTTAGTTCTTTATCACTTGTGTATTAAAAGTATTTGCAGCAATTCAGCATTCACTGTCATGTGTATTTAATTCGATAAAATATACCTTAAAAGCTACCCTGTCATTGAATTTGTGTATAGATTCATAAACATTAACTGCACCTCTGCTCCTGACATGTAATAAAATATTCATGTAATAGATTGGACCACTGACTAACCACACAGGCTAATGGTCCAAATACTTTTGTAACCATGTTTTTGTACTACGTTGATTAAATAAACACTGATGATGATGATGAAAAAAAACGTGGAATAAGTAGGCTTGCTTTAGGAGCTCACGGGAATACACCAAATCATGGAGTACAAATTGATATGGGATGGACATCATTTGAAGGCAGGGAAGCTAGCAGCAAGATAAAATTTGAGAAGTGATTGAGAGAAATGGGGGGGGGGGAGCGTTGGGCTAGGAAGCTTTTCAGCTACTTGTACATGAAGAATGTCGATACAAAATGGAGAAAGCGAACCAGGAAATTGACTGGTAAATTCATGGTGAACTTACTTACAGCGTAACACCAGAAAAAATACAGGACAGGGAAGGACCAAAGAGAAAGAAAAGACTACTACTGCGCAGGCACTACTACTTCTCACCGTCATTAGCATTACAGTAGCTAAAGTTAGAACCCCTTTCGGTACGTCGTCGTAGAATCATTAAAATTTTTGCACAACATAATCAACTAGTCATATCACATCTCGAACACAGTCTTTTTGTCATTAGCCTACACCCGTCCACCCCACAAGCTCAATCTTGCTACCTTTTTTGCACGCACAAATACATTCGAGTATAGTTTCTTTCCACGAACAATTGAATTATAAAATTGTTTACCTGGTCACAGTCGATCACTCCACCTGAATAATTATGTTACCATTCTTGTTGAAAGTCCTGTAACAAAAGCCTAATTTCTTATTGTTATAATTGTGTTTATCGTTAATTCCTTTATTGTTATAAATGTGTTTCATTGTTATTTTCTTGTTACTTCTTATGTATCTTCTCTTGCGATTTTTTTTCACTGTATAACGCCACTCCTTCAATAGCCCTTTTACAGGGCTGCAGGATGGAAAATAAATAAATAATCAAACCACGGTAATTAAACTATTAGTGTATTGGGAGAACTTGACCTCCACTACCCATTTTGTTAAGGCTAGAATTACAACTGACTGTATTTATCATGTTGTTGGGCAATAATGCCTATGCGATTCATCATACTGCGCTGTGACGTTATTGCTCTAAGCAGTTTCGGCATAGCTTCTAGAGAAAATAAAACTCATTTTTGGAGCATGGTACCCGGCTCATATTTGCTAATGCAATTCTTTATCTAATAAGGGTGTGTCGTACAAAGTTAAGCGAAATGTATATATGCAGACTTCAGAGCTTCTTTATTTACGAAATTCCGGGAAGTGAAATTAACTAACTGCTTTGTGTTTACATGAACTCAACCTTCTGTTTCTCCAAGACAGTGCAACAGGTCACCTGATATTTATCCTTCCTAATGTTCATATTTGCAAATAAATTAGGCTTTCTCTGATGCTTCAGTAACTGTAAAAAAACAAGCTGCCTAAATATTCTCCGCATTTTTTTCTTACTGTCGAAAAATAATGTACCCTGATGTGCTCATATGTTCAGTACAACAATTTCCTAAGTTGTACGGTAAAGTAAGTAAATCCTGTCAACCATCATTAGGCAGAGAATCGTTAAGCGGCTGTTTTGTGAGAAGTTTACAAATTATGACGTTGAAGAGTTTGTC